TCTCTCTCTCTCTCTCTCTCTCTCTCTCTCTCTCTCTTTCACAGACTCTCTCTTTCTCTTTCTCTCTATCTCTCTCTCTCTCTCTCTCTCTCTCTAGATCTAACTCTCTCTCTCTCTCTCTCTCTCTAGATCTAACTCTCTCTCTCTCTTTCTCTCTAGATCTAACTCTCTCTCTCTCTCTCTCTCTCTCTCTCTCTCTCTCTCTCTCTCTCTCCCTCTCTCTCTCTCAATCTATCTATCTATCTATCTTTCTCTCTCACTCTCTCTCTCTCTTCCTTCCTCTTCCACTTCACACAACTTTTAACATCGGTTATTAACCTGAAATTCGAAACCTCATCTTCACTAATGTTTCTTCCGCGTCACATTTTCTTCTCGTTGCCCTCATGGATGCCTTTGGTAATGATGGCGTTAGTGAAAATGATGATATGAAGATGATGGTGATAGGGATGGCGATAGTGATTACGTTGATTAGTGTCTAATGGCTGGTAATGGCTGATGATGGTGATGGTAACTTTGATAATTAATCGCCTATTCTTCCCGATTTAAAAAGAAAGAAAGAAACAGAGAAAAGAAAAAAAAAATATATGTCTTAACCTCTCCCTCCGATCTTCCGCAGGTGACTTGTTCGTGCTCGTGTTTTCGTGGGACTCTCAGGAATCGTGGGAGGAGGTGGTTCGTCTCCGGGAGCAGATCCTCGAGACGAAGATGTCGGCGTCAGCGAACTGCAGCGGAAGCAGGAAAAAGCGCACGTCCCCGCGGGTTCCTATGGTGATCGCCGGCAACAAGTGCGACCGGGAGCAGATGTAAGTGTTGGGCTATGAGCTTATCAAATTTTTCATCTCTTGTTGTCAAAATACGTCATTTTTTTTTATTTTTTTTATTTGTTCTTCATAGGTTTATCTTAGTTTTTCTTTTGTCTGTAACTTTATTTTATGTTTTGTTAATGTTTTCATCTATTTACTTTTTTCAGCCATGATATGTCTAAGTATCATATTTATTACTGTACTTTATCTTCATTATTTCACATTTATCTGTTTATGCGTATCTGTTTGTTCGTCTTTTATATATTCATTCATACATACATACATACCTACATGTATGTGCGTGTGAATATATATATATACACATGCATACATGCATACATATTTACACACACAAACACGACTTTTGATCAATAAACAAACTATTAGATAAGTGAGAAGTTATACGAACTAATTATTCAGCGGATGATTAAGGCGAAAAGTTAAGATTACCCACGAAAGACACGTCGACGAGAGCCAATTACCTCCCCAGCGAACCCACAAACAACCAATTAAAATGGTGATGTTAAAAAACTGCAAACTCTGCGCCGAAATCTTTTGAAGACGATAACTTCTTATTATTAGAAATACATAATTTAGTCCCTAAGTTATGATAAAGAGTGATTAGAGTATTGAAGCTTATTACGTCGTTTCACACTCTTTGGGCCGTTATCAAGTGCCAAGTCAAGCGTGTTATGAGGGATTCAGTATTAACTACCGAATGATTTGAAGGGTTTGGCGTTGTTTAAGATCGGCTGGTTTCTGGTCTGGGGAGAATGGCTTAAAGATATGTTTCTTTTTTATTATTAGTCTTGATTGATTACGATTTGCGAAGGAAGATTATTAGTCTTATATCTGTCTGTGTAGGTTTGTTTATCTGGTCTTTCGTTCTATCCCTTTCTATTTGTATTTCTGTCTCTCCTTTGCCCCTGCCTATCTCCCTCACTCACTCTCTCTCTCTCTCTCTCTCTCTCTCTCTCTCTCTCTCTCCTTCCTCTCTCTCCCTCTCTCTTTCCTCTCTCTCTCTCTCTCTCTCTCTCTCTCTCTCTCTCTCTCTCTCTCTCTCTCTCTCTCTCTCTCTCTCTCTCTCTCTCTCCTTCCTCTCTCTCCCTCTCTCTTTCCTCTCTCTCTCTCTCTCTCTCTCTCTCTCTCTCTCTCTCTCTCTCTCTCTCTCTCTCTCTCTCTCTCTCTCTCTCTCTCTCTTTCTCTCTCCTCAGGCTTCTCTCATAGGAAGACTAAAAACCCATCTAAGTTTATTGCATGACAACGCTATCCGGTAAGGGACATAAAACTAACATTTAGCCATCCGGTCAGAATTTTCATTTTTTCCCCCAGACAATTTTTAGTTTTCGGTTTCACTCCTGATGACAGACTAAACTAAATATCCCAAACACTGCAAATACTAATCGAAGTATTGGAAATCTGCCGGATTAAAGCACAAACTAAGGGGTTTCTTCACAACGTGCGCTCTCTCTCTCTAAACTTTCTCTCATCTAATCTTTTTGGCATTATATTCTGCAATATCGAGTTGACAGAAAAAAAAAACTTTCTTGCATCCAGTCATCGTAGCCTAGAAGCGAATATGAAGCGTAATCTTCACCCTCAACGATCCGTTTTTGCGGAAGAAAAGGTTGCATGAGATTAAGCAACATTTCACTGCCATTTTAATTTTCTGTCTAACACAAAAGCAGATTAAATAATTTCTCGGAGGATTTTGCCCACATATATATATTATTACGCAATTCTAAAAAAAAAAAAAAAAAAAAAAAAGTTTGCAATCCCTGACTGCCGAATATCCATGTCACAAAAATGTCAACAATTTTAGCAGTTTGAAGCCTGTAGCAAAATCATGAAACGTGAACGCAAAACTCTTGTAATTAAGGGAACAAAAGAGAGATAAACTATTGGCTTCATCGAACACAAACACGCATTAATCATACAAACGCTTACTGAGTATTGTAGTTATGTTTAAACTCTCTCTTTCTCTTCTCCACCCCCCCTTCTCTCTCATTACGTCTCTCTCTCTCTCTCTCTCTCTCTCTCTCTCTCTCTCTCTCTCTCTCTCTCTCTCTCTCTCTCTCTCTCTCTCTCTCTCTCTCTCTCTCTCTCTCTCTCTCTCTCTCTCTCTCTCTCTCTCTCTCTCGTATTTCCGCTCTCTCTACTACTACTTCTCTCTCCCCTTTCTCCGTTATCCTCCCTCTTACCTGTTCTTTTATCCTCTCAGTACTGTCACACTCTACACCTGTGTCTCCCTTAATAGGATTACCTGTATTAACGTGGAACAAAAAAAATCACAAGAAATTAAGGACTGACTGCGAAATGATCAATTATACGCAAAGAAAAGACTGCAACAACAACAAAAACAACAACAACTACATTGTGAAAAAAGACAAAATGACACTATTAACTGTCAGGATTTTTTTTTTGTCTGATTAAGTAATGAAAATCAAACAAAGAACGCTTGTTTGTCCATGTCATCTTCGTACAGTCCTGAGGGGAGTCCTCTACTTCTTGAGCATTCGCTATGACGTCAGTGTGTTTCGTGTGACGTCATAAGGCCGGAGGCTCATCAATATATGATGGCGCAGGCCCGGATTATAGCTTTTCCCACGAGAGGAACCCCTGAATACGAACAGTCCCATGTATTTTTGTTTATACATTGCTCCTTTTCTTTATTTTTGTTTATTTGTTTATTTTTATTGTTTTATTTGTTTATTTTTTATTTTCTTTTTTTGGTAAATTCGATTTTTTGCTTGTCTTTTGTTTTGAATGTCTCCGCTTTTCAGTTGCTCTTATCTTTCGTGTTAATTTTTTTTTAATCTTTTCTTTAACTTTTATTTTCATATTTTTTCTCTTTTTCATCTTCCCCGAATTCGAACTCAGTCTTACAGTCTTTTTATCTCTTTCTCTTCACTCTTATCCACTTCTCCTATCTCTCCTCCTTTTCATTCCCCTTTGCCTTCTTGGAATCCGACCAGACATTACCTTATCTCCGTTGTTATCTTTCCCCTCTTTTCTTGTCATCCCAATTATCAATCTCTCCGTCCCTCTTCTTCCATCGCCGCTGGGGGAGATCTCAGCTGCTACGACCAAGTCAATACCCCAAAAAGACGCAAAGATATTTATATATTTTTGAATAGATTTTGATCATTTCTAGGTTTTCTTATCGTATTTAAACATAACTCCCTTCTTCCATCCCTTACGTCCACGTCCCTCATCTCCCGCTTCAGCTGCTGCGCCTTCGTCAAGAGATCTGATGATAAAGAATTTTCCTGTATCTGTTTTTTTTTTACCATCTCTGTCTTTTCTTATCCTTCCTAATTGTCCGAATCAGCCGCCTCGGTCTCTGTCTAGAAACACGACACAAATACTTCGTTTTCTCCATTATAAGTTCATCTCATCTCCACCCCCCCCCCTCCCCACACACACTTCTTCTTGAGTTATCTATCTCTTCCTCCTCCATCTCCCCACACTTCTCCTCGATTAGCGAGTTATCTATCTCTTCCTCCTCCTCCTCCTCCCCACACTTTTCCTCGAATTATCTATCTCTTCCTCCTCCTCCTCCCCACACTTCTCCTCGATTAGCCTCGATCTATCTCTTCCTCCTCCACCTCCCCACACTTCTCCCCGATTAGCGAATTATCTATCTCTTCCTCCTCCTCCTCCTCCCCACACTTCTCCTCGAGTTATCTATCTCTTCCTCCTCCACCTCCCCACACTTCTCCCCGATTAGCGTATTACCTATCTCTTCCTCCTCCACCTCCTCACACTTTTCCTCGATTAGCGGGTTATCTATCTCTTCCTCCTCCTCCACCTCCCCACATTTCTCCTCGAGTTATCTATCTCTTCCTATTCCACCTCCCCACACTTCTCCTTGATTAGCGTATTACCTATCTCTCCTCCTTTTCATTCCCCTTTGCCTTCTTGGAATCCGACCAGACATTACCTTATCTCCGTTGTTATCTTTCCCCTCTTTTCTTGTCATCCCAATTATCAATCTCTCCGTCCCTCTTCTTCCATCGCCGCTGGGGGAGATCTCAGCTGCTACGACCAAGTCAATACCCCAAAAAGACGCAAAGATATTTATATATTTTTGAATAGATTTTGATCATTTCTAGGTTTTCTTATCGTATTTAAACATAACTCCCTTCTTCCATCCCTTACGTCCACGTCCCTCGTCTCCCGCTTCAGCTGCTGCGC